TGGTCATCCTTTTGTTCTTACATAATACACTGTACTGAACATATTTATGCACATTTTTTCGTCGGCTTTAAAATCAAATTCTTAGAAGGAAAACTACAGATTAAAAACAATCAAGATCCTACGTGTAATGTGTGTGTGTGCGTGTGTGTGTGTGTATGAATTTGAATTATATCTTGACGTTGCTGTCAGGGCACTGCCCCTCTTCCTGCCACTGTGGTACAATCATATTTTTGTGATTTCTTCTATTACTTCAAAAGGGAAGAAGTTATACCACTGTACTTTAAAATAATTAATTTGTTATTTGATGAAATGCTTAAGTATTAGAAAAAAGTGTTATGGTATACCTTGATTGGTTATGGATTTTGTTCTGTTTATTATGCCTTCTTTTGGGTTGGAGGGCTTCTGTTATTTACAGGTGGATTAATATTCTGCTCCCTATTACTCGTGAGTTAAATTGTACTCAATTCCCTTTTCTGTAGTTACCACCTCCCCTCCTATTCTTGCTGATTTCTTCCTCATTTTTTGTTATGTGTTCTATAAAATTTCCCATCACATTATTTATTGCTACAACCTACTGTTTTCTAAATGATTTTTTTTTTTTTTTTTTAGACGGAGTTTCGCTCTTGTTACCCAGGCTGGAGTGCAATGGCGCGATCTCGGCTTACCGCAACCTCTGCCTCCTGGGTTCAGGCAATTCTGCCTCAGCCTCCCGAGTAGCTGGGACTACAGGCGCGTGCCACCGTGCCCAGCTAATTTTTTGTATTTTTAGTAGAGACGGGGTTTCGCCATGTTGACCAGGATGGTCTCGATCTCTTGACCTCGTGATCCACCCGCCTCGGCCTCCCAAAGTGCTGGGATTATGGGCGTGAGCCACCGCGTCTGGCCTTCTAAATGATTTTAATTGTATTGCTGTAAAATTGTTATTGCTCTCCTCTAATTTCATACCTCCTGTGTTTTCTTATTACTCTGAAAATAGTTAATAAATTTTGCTAATACATTCTTGTATTTCATAGATGAGTTTAATGTCTATTTGTTTTTGTTTTGTTCTTTCGTATTAGAAGACTTTTTGCTTTTTCTTACTTTACCGTTATTTTTGTCATCATCACAGGCCAGGAAGATCCCATAGCCCAGGTTGCTTTTGGTCAATATTGTTTTCCCCAGCAGTATTAACTAGCATGTAGGAGATATTATGTAATGCCACAAGAATGAATTTGAGAGAATGCTTTGAATTCCTATTCCAGTTGCTTATTAAATGACGGAATATATGTCCAGAGTTTTTGATAAGCTCCATAGTTTCTTAAAGTTAATTGAGGTTGAAATTCAGTTGAGCAGGGTTTGATAGGAGATTGGTTGGTTTATGATGGTTTGGGAGTTCAGGCCCAAATGGATTCTGCCTTAGCATTCTTTACAAGTCTGAGTCCACTAGTATTGTCCAGTATTATGGCTATCTCCCAGTCCTGTTTCAGCTGAGCAGCTATCAAGAGAAAGTCTGTTGCCAAGCCAGAGCAAGGAGATTTTTGGAGGAGGATGTTCTAAGAAAGAAGGTACTACCTGAAGCAAGCTTTAACAGTCAAGTTTGCTGCTCTTAATCATATTTAATTAGTACTGGAGATTGGACAAAGCCTTACTAGAAATTAGAATGTGCTTCATTTCCGCAGTTGATTTCAGCTGTGATTATAGTGTTGTCTTCCTTCTTTCTCTTAGGCATTTCATACTATACCCCCATCCCTCTAATATAGTTCTATCATACTTTGAAAACAACCTATATTTGTTCTTTTCATAATTGTGGCTGTGTAAATACTATTTGCTAAGTCAGTATCTATGACTATGTTTTCTTACAAAACTTTAATTTTTACTGGCGTTCATAAATTGTCTCATTTTTTTTGTTTGCTTAATTTATTTTACCTCAGGCTTAATTTCTCACATCTTCCAGTGCCTTTGTAAAATCTCTCTCAATATGATAGTCTATATTTCTAAACTTGTTAGATTATCTCCCCTTCTATCCCCAGAAATAACTCCCTTGGATTCTCTGTCACATTCTTTCTGGATTTGTTGCCTTCTACTTTGCCTCGCCATTTCGAGATTCTCTTAGTTTTTCTCTTATACTGGATCCCTTCTTTGTTGGATTCCATGCCGTCTTTCTTGAGTTTCTTCCTGATTTTGATGGAATGTATATTCTCTGGTAGGTTCCTGAAAAAGCTTACACAAAGATTAAATTTTTGGAAATTTAGCCTCATGACTATCTATCTAAATTCTACTGGTGCTGATCATAACTCTGAAAGACACACTCCCTAATGCCATAATCCCAAATGTTGAGATACTGAAAGATAAAAAAATCTCTAAAAATCAGAATCCCTAAATTCTAAAAATCTCATATGTCTAAAATCCTGAAAATCACAATCATGAAAGATTAAAATCCCAAATGTTGAAATGCCGTAAGCCAAAACCCGGGGAAGGGATTAGTGCATATCTGGTCGTATGAAAGATAGTTGCATCATTTTAGTTGCATCATGTTAGGTGGAACGATTGCCTTTTTATTGTATTTATTTGGAAATTAAGTATGGATTAAGGAGTTGCGTATGGGTGCTGAATTGACAAAGGGTGGATTCGTGGATTTAATTTTAGGTGTCAACTTGACTGGATTAAGGAATACCTAGAAACCTGTTAAAGCATTATTTTGGGTTTGTCTGTGAGGAGATTAGTATGTGAGTCTGGGTGGGCTATGTGGGGAAGATCTGCCTCAATGATGGTGGCTACTATTTAATCTGCTGGGGGCCCAGAGAGAAGAAATTGTTGCCTTTCTGAGAGCTGGAATGGATTTTTCTTCTGCTGTATTGGACATCAGAATATTGAGACTTGCTCAGTAAATGAAGAGATATCCTTTTCGTTCATCTGTATATGTGAAAGATAAAATTTCTCAAGATCTTGGCTCTTTGGATGACTCTCTTGCCGTTTTTGTGCAAGTGGTAGTGACCCATTGCAGCATTTGATCGATCTTGTCAGAAGATTCAGGTTGTCTGGTATTTCAGATGAGCGCAGTTACGAATCTGGGTGCACCTAATTACCAACCATAGAGATATGTGTTTATGCATTTTGCTTTTTAATCTATGTCTTCATGAATACAGTTTATCTGTTCATGTTACACCTGGAGCAACTGTTGTTAGTACATCTGAGAGTTTATGCTTGCAAAAGTATGTTATTAGTGCCTATTTTACTGTGTGAAGGGGTCTGTTAACTGTTCTGTTGTGTTTTTATGTTTCTCAAATAAATCTTTTAAAAATGGAAATAGGCTGGGCGTGGTGGCTTACGCCTGTAATCCAAGCACTTTGGAGACCAAGGCGGGCGGATCACCTGAGGTCGGGAGTTCAAGACCAGCCTGAACAACATGGTGAAACCCCGTCTTTTTAAAAAATAAAATGGAAATAAATGTCTTTTAGAGAACTTTTTACAAATTATTTTTTCCAGAATCCTGTTTTTAGGATTTTGTTATTTTGGGATTGTGATTTTTGGAATTTTAGATTTTAGGGGTTTTGATCTCTTGGAATTTCAACATTTGGGTTTATGGTGTTTGGGATTGTGTCTTTTGGGATTATGGCCTAAACCCAAATTCTGTCACCTCTGACTGTCTGGTGATAGCGTTTAAAATGGAAAGATAAAATGACTTGATTTTTTATTTTTATTTTTAACTGTGATTTAAAAAAATAGAGGCTGGTCATTGTGGCTCACATTTGTAATCCTAGCACTTTGGGAAGTTGAACCTGGTGGATTGCTTGAAGAGGAGTTTGAGCAATATGGTGAAACCTCGTTTCTACAAAAAATGCAAAAAAAACTAGCTGGGTGTGGTGGGGCATGACTGTAGACCCAGGTACTTGGGAGGCTGAGATGGGAGGATAACCTGAGCCTGGGGAGGTTAAGGCTGCTGTGAGCCACGATTGTGACACTGCACTCCATCCTGGGTGATAGAGTGACATCCTGTCTCAAAAAAAGAAAAAAATTAAAAAATAGAGAAACCAAAAAAACTAGAAACCACATGCACATGAACCAGAATTTAAAAGGTATTAAGAGGTTATGGATGGGGAAATGTGTCTATGGCATGAGAGAATCTTTTGGAATGATGGAACTGTTCTGTATCTGACTATATAATACTGGTTACACCAATTTCCATATGTTTTAAAATCCATAGAAATGATACTAAAATAAAAATTTCAATCTATATGTCTGATACTTTAAAAGGTGAAAAATTAAAAGAATTTGAAAGTACAAAAAGGTCTACAGCAAAAAAGAAGTCTCCTTTCTTGCTTGCTTGCTTTAGTCTTCTAGCTTTCTTTTCTGGAAGAAACCACTATTACCAATTTCTTATGTATTCTCTTATGTAATCACTCTTAAACATCTGAACATTTGGGGTGAATCCAGCAAAAGAGAGAAGAACTTACATTTGTGTAGCTATTTTCTGAGAATGCTAAATAACTACTCTTAGAATACGTCTAAATATATTATTACTTTTATTTTTTTGAGACAGCCTCAATCATCGCCCGGTGGTGTGATTTGGACTCACTGCAACCTCTGCCTCCCGGGTTGAAGTAATTCTCCTGCCTCACCTCCCAAGTAGCTGGGATTACTGGCATTTATTTCTTTTTATTTATTTATGTTTTTTACTTTTATTTTTTTGTGACAGAGTCTCAATCATCACCCAGGCTGGAGTGCAGTGGTGCAATCTGGTCTTACTGCAGCCTCTGCCTCCTGGGTTCAGGTGATTCTCCTGCCTCGTCTCCCACTGTACCTGGGATTACAGGCAGCTAATTTTTGTAATTTTTAGTAGAGATGGGGTTTTGACATGTTGGCCAGCTCTGGATTGGAACTCCTGACCTCAAGTAATCCACCACCTGGGCCTCCCAAAGTGCTGGGATTACAGGCGTGAGCCGCCGTACCCGGCCAGAATATGTATAAATATATTAATAATCATACTTAGTACTAATTTATTACAATTATTTCCTTTACAGTTGGCAAACATGAATTAACTGGGCATAAAGTGGCTGTGAAGATACTCAATCGACAGAAGATTCGGAGCCTTGATGTGGTGGGAAAAATCCGCAGAGAAATTCAGAACCTCAAGCTTTTCAGGCACCCTCATATAATTAAACTGTAAGCTGTGTTTATATTAAATGTAGACCAGTCATCTTTTCATCTTTTTTGTTAACCTACTTAATGTGACAAGTGAAAAAAATGACTGACATTTCTTTTTGTTTCATGAGGGTTTTGAAAAGTTTCTTCCTAGGCCGTGTGCAGTGGCTCATGCCTGCAATCCCAGCATTTTGGGAGGCCAAGGTGGGCAGATCACCTGGGGTCAGGAGTTCGAGATTAGCCTGGCCAACATGGTGAAACCCCACCTCTACTAAATATACAAAAATTAGCTGTGCGTGGTGGTGGGCACTTGTAATCCCAGCTACTCGGGATGCTGAGGCAGGAGAATTGCTTGAACCTGGGAGGTAGAGGTTGCAGTGAGCTGAGATCACGCCTTTGTACTCCAGCCTGGGCAACAAGAGTGAAACTCTGTCTCAAAAAAAAAACCAGATTCTTCCTTTGCATGTATTCTTCTAACCCTCCTGATCATCATTTAATCCTATGTTCATGTTTTGCCCTTGTGCTTATCAGCTGTTATCTTGGATTCTTTCCTGTCTTCTGGAAAGGTGCCCTTTTGATAATAATGTTTGGTGCCCCATTACTGTAAAATCAACAATGATCTGCTAGTAAAAACTCTTGACCTCCAAATGCCCACATGCTGTCAGTTAGCCTCACTAGCGAGAATGCAGTAGAAAGGGTTTTTCCCCGTCCTGCTTATACCTGACCATATAGATAACAAAATTTTAGGAATCTAATATTTCAAAAGAGCAGTAATCTTACTGTTGTTTTATAGTTGTCAGTTGTAGAGTCTATAAATAACATATTTCCACCTCAGCTTCTGCTTTGTTATGCAGGCAATAATTTAAAGCTGCTGAACTGGCTAACTCAAGTTTGTTTCACTCTCACCTCTTCTCATTTGTTGAGGTTCCATGGTTTTAAATACTATCCATATGCTTACCACTCCTAAACGTACATCTCTTGCTTTAAGATCTCTTCTTACTTCAGACTCAAAAAATGCTTACTGCTGACTTTACATTTCCATTTGGATGCCCGCAAGGCATTTAAAACTCCACTGGGCCCAAAATGAACTATTACTCTCCCAAACTTGCTCTTCCCACAGTTTTCACTGTCTCAGCTAACAGCCAGTTACCCAGGGCTAAAACTTAGGAACGATTTTTAACTTCCCTGTTTCTTTCATATCTCTTCCTTCAAAATCAAGCTAGCATGTGACTGCTTCTCAGTTCCCTTATCACTGTCAACCTGGTCTCAGCCACCTTCATCTGTCATGAAATCCTGAAGTAACCTCCTGTATCTACCTTTACTATCGACAGTTAATTCTTTACACTGCTGCCATAGTTTTCCTTTTAATATGCCAGATCACATGACTGCTTAAAACATATGATAGCTTCTTTCTTTTTTTTTTTTCCCTTTCTTTATTTTTTTCTTTTTAGCCCCTTTCTGAGACAGTGATAGCTTTTTTCATCTTCCTTGGAGTAAAAGCCAAAGCCTTATTATGGCTTGTAAAATTCTGTGTCCTCTGGCCTGCAGTTAACACCTTTGATTCTACATCCTATTTTTCTCTCCCAGCTTACTCTGCTGTACCCTTACTATTCCTCAAACATGCCAAGCAGGCTTCTACTTGGGGACATTTGTAGCTGCTGTTTTCTCTCCCTGGTTCACCTTCCTCCTAGATAATGGCATAATTTGTTTCCATTCTTCTTTTAGGATCAGCTCAAATGTTACTTTATTGGAAGGCTTCCTTGAGCACTCTGTATGAAAGCATTCCCCTTAGTTTGCTTTACTTTTCTTCATAGCATGTTCTACCACCTGAGATACTGCTTATTTATTTAGTGTCTGTTTCCTGGCTTCTGGACCATGAACTCCATGAGAGCAGATAATTTTTGTTCCCTGCAGTTTTCCTAGCTCCTAGCATGGTACCTGGTATACTGTAGGTGCTTAGTAAATATTTATTGAATGAATGAATATACATGTTTTAATATTCGTAGACAATTTTTTCTCTCACCAGGTACCAGGTCATCAGTACACCATCTGATATTTTCATGGTGATGGAATATGTCTCAGGAGGAGAGCTATTTGATTATATCTGTAAGAATGGAAGGGTAAGCTGTTCCGATTTAATTCTGTATGTATTTTGTAACTCTCCTTTATCCTTTACTAGCATCAAAATGTCAGCAAGCAATTTTAAGAGGTCTATTTAATAACCAGTTCCCTTAGTCATATATTTATTTAGAATCATAAGCCATTTAGAACTAGAAAGGATTTTAAAGATTACCTCAGCCTGTTTATACAGATATGTATACTGAGCCTCATGGTTTGTATGTTTGCTTATGGTAACGTGATTTATTAATGACAGAATTGGCTTGAGGTCCCAGAACTCATAATCCTCAGACTTATGCTTCCACAATATACAAATACTTGGAATATTTATCTTAATGTAATTAATACTTACAAAATACATTATTACTTAACAATCTAGGCCTTGCTAGTCAATCCTAGCCACATTTAAATTGCATTCATTTTTTTGGTTTCAGAAACCTGATGTACCTGGAGTAGTAAGAACAGGCTCCATGAAGGAGGTAGGAATTAGATATAAAGAACTTAGAGCTGGAAGGAACTTTAGAAGACATTTTGAACACTATCTTAAGTTACAGATAGAAAACTCAACACTGCCCTCTGCCCATACTTTTCCTCATACCCAGGTTATGTGGTATGCAAAAGCCCCTTTGTGGGAGAGCTGTATCTAGCCCTGAAAAGAAAGCTTTTCTCACTCCCAGTCTTAAGTTACTTACATTACTCATTCATTTGTTCTATATAGCATGTCTGTTTACTTTCAGCAGAATGAAAGTTTATTAACTAATTTTGATTTTACTATTTCTTAACATGATTAATTTCTATTTCAGGTACTCCCCTTCTTTACTCCCATTTTTCCTCACCAAAAAAAAAAAAAAATAAAAAGTTCTGTGTGGAGAAATGGGAAACAGGCACAACTGATACACTTTTTTTCTTATCTTTTCTGTTTTTTAATTTCGTGATTTTACCTTGTGGGTATTTCTTCAGTTTTACCAGTTGAATATTAAAATTTCAGTGACCATATTTTCTATTTCAAAACTTTATTTTCTGAAATTTTCATTTCTTTAGTCTGCTGTTATTTGCTCAACAGATATAATAACCTAGTCTGAGGATGACATTAAAAAAAAAATGTTTTCCTCTGTTCCATCTTGTTCTGTACCTTCTGTGCTCTTTGCTTCTCATTTTTTTCTGTTCATTTTTGTCTTTGATGCATGGCCCTTTTTCAGATATTTGGTGATTCTTGGCTGTCCACTTAATATTTAAGAATAAGATACTAAATGCCAGGCTCATGTGGGTGGAACTTATTGATTGCCAGGTTTTCCTACGTCTTGAATAGGTAGGGACTTGTCCATTTTATTACTGTACATCAAATGCTAATAATAGCAAATAGGTTTTCTTGTATCAGATATTTCAGAAGAAACCTTCCCATATCCTTAAAATCCTTAGCTTAGCTGTTAGTGCTCCAGGAGCTCAGTGTGGGAAAAGAGATACAAGTCTCAGTAGTTAGTATGTTGACTTCTCTTAGCCCCCATGTTTTCCTCAGCATGCCTTATCCCTGCCTTAGTGTCCTTGAAAGCAGAGCTGGTTCAGCCTTACTAGAGGAAATTATAGGTCTTATTCCCCAGTATGGGTGAGTTTAAAAGCTTCTTACTTAAAGTACTTGTCCTGTTTTCAGCCCCCTATGTTTCTAATTTCTAAGGCTTCCCAGGGCTTCGTGTGCAGACATTTATTTCTTACTGGCTTCTATCCCTGTAGGCTTAGGTTTTAGCTTTTTCTTGTAGGTTTGGTCTTTATTACTGTTTATCTATTGTCCTCCTTGGTGACTCCTCTTGATTACTGTTGTATCTTTTGTTCCTTTTGTCTTTATATGCCTCTTTTATTGCTGATGTCATTTTAGTGATGTTTCAAGAATTGGAGACAAAATATTTAATCTGCTATGTTTAATGGGAAATGTATTTTGACTTTTCTGATCTTCCTTTATAGACATCCCTTTCTCCATCCTTTGTAATTGTATGTGTTAGGAATATAGTATAATTTTCATTTTTGTAGCCTGTCTAGTTACTTTTTATATTTTGTTTAATCAAGTTTTCTTTTATTTTTTCATATTTGAACAGATACCCTTTTTTTCCCCATGAACCTACAAATCTTCTAGAAATAAAAATATTAGATTGCTAAGGGATTAGTATTTTTCTAGAGGAACAGTATCTTATAATACTTTTTTATTTCAAAATAAATTACTGATTTGTCTCTTCTCCCAGACTATACATGCCCTTTAAGATGTAAGTCTGGTATTAGAATGCTAATTTGTGACCTGTGTTAGAGAATTGCATATTTTAGAGTCCTTTGCCTAGAGGATTAGTAGCTTATTTATTAAAAATGACTTCTTGGGAGCAGGCATGTCCAAGTAATCGTTGTTACTTATGTTGAAAAAAGTGATAAGAATATATGGATACATAGAGAAGTTAAAAAAAACATACTTCAGGCTGGGTGCAGTGGCACATGTCTGTAATCCCAGCACTTTGGGATGCTGAAGCGGGTAGATCGCCTGAGCCTCAGGTGTTTGAGACCAGCCTGGGCAACATGGCAAAGTCCTGTCTCTGTCAAAACTACAAAAATTAGCCAGGGGTGGTGGCATGCACCTGTGGTCCCAACTACTCAGGAGGCTAGGTTTGTAGGATCACTAGAGCCTAGGGAAGTCTAGGCTGCAGTGAGCTGTGATGGCACCACTGCACTCCCGCCTGGCTGACAGAGCAAGATCTGGTCTCAAAATACAGATAAATTAAAAAAAATTAAAACCAAAAAAATGTAGTTTGTACATATGATTTTTTTTTCAGCAAGCATATTAAAGATAAAATGTTACGATATTTTATTAAATTAATTAAGGTGTTTCTTGTTAAAATGTCTTATACTTTAGGATATATAACAACATAGTTGCTTGCTAGTTTATGAACAGTGCTTAAATATTACTTCCTAATGGTCTAAAATAGTATCCCCCTACCCCAACTTTACTTACTGTACCCGTATTTTGCTTTTTCTTCAAAACAGTATCACTTCTTCAGACTATATTTATTCATCTATTTTTGCCAATTAGAATAGGGCCTTTTTGTTTTATTTATTGCTGTGTAATGAATTTCTAAAACAATGTATAGCACATTGAAGGTATTCAGTAAATGTTAAAAGAATGAAAGATTAAGCATTTCCACCTTGTAAGAGAAAATATGTCAAGTTTCAAGTAGATGTTGAAATTATTTGAAGTAACTCATGAGATATAGAGGAAGGCAAGCTAATGTAGTCATATGCAAATGATAATATTAGAAACTTGAATAACTGATTTGGATTCCAAGACCATCTCAGCATTTCTGCTTGGTGCTGCAAGTGTCTCCTCCTCATGTCAAAAGTATCTCATAAGTGAAGTTCATTTGGAAGATTTTCATGTATTTTGACAATTTTATAGCTTGGAGAATTATAGATAGGAGAATTTACTTTGAAAGACACACCTTTAAAAATGCGTCTCTACTTTTCTTAGCTGGATGAAAAAGAAAGTCGACGTCTGTTCCAACAGATTCTTTCTGGTGTGGATTATTGTCACAGGCATATGGTGGTCCATAGAGATTTGAAACCTGAAAATGTCCTGCTTGATGCACACATGAATGCAAAGATAGCTGATTTTGGTGAGGATAATTTTATTGTTTCTTATGTTCATTTCTGATGTCCTTATTTTCAATAAACCTATGTAGAATTCTTCAGATAACTGTAAAAACTTACATAAAGTAGGCCGGGCGCGGTGGCTCAGCCTGTAATCCCAGTACTTTGGGAGGCCGAGGCAGGTGGATCACGAGGTCAAGAGATCGAGACCATCCTGGTCAACATGGTGAAACCCCATCTCTACTAAAAATAATAATAATAAAAAAAAAATCAGCTGGGCATGGTGGCGCATGCCTGTAATCCCAGTTACTCAGGAGGCTGAGGCAGGAGAATTGCCTGAACCCAGGACGCGGAGGTTGCGGTGAGCCGAGATCGCGCCATTGCACTCCAGCCTGGGTAACAAGAGTGAAACTCTGTCTCAAAAAAAAAAAAACAACTTACATAAAGTAATAGACTGAGTATATCAAAGTATCCTATTTTGTCTATGAACATACAAAAAGAAGAAATGCTAAGAAATCATCTTTTCTTAGCTTTAAATGTCTCTATTATTATTATTATTTTATAGAGACAGGGTTTCACTTTGTCACCTAGGCTGGAGGGCAGTGACATGATCATAGCTCACTGCAGCCCCAAACTACTGGGCCAGGTGACCCTCCTGCCTCAGCCTCCTGAGTAGCTGGGACTGCAGGCGTGCACTACCATGTCAGGCTAAGTTTTATATTTTTGTAGAGACGGGTTCTTGCTATGTTGCCAAGGCTGCTTTTGAACTCCTGGCCTCAAATGATCCTTCTGCCACAGCTTCCCAAAGTATTGAGATTAACAGATGTACACCACTGCACCTGGCTCTTAAAATATCTTTAAAATTAAATTTTAAACAACTTAAGTTGGTAGCATTAGAGAGACCATTCGAAAAGAGGGTATTTGTGAAGGAGAAGGTAGCAGCCTTATTTCTAATATGTTCAGAAAAATCAAGTATGGAAAAGAAGAAAAGTGAGTGGAATTATTTAAAACTTTGAAATCCAGAAGGTGAACTATGGGAATTTTAATTATTTAAAATTATTTGAAACAATTTTTTAATTAAAACAAATTTTTATTTAAAATTATTTTAAAATGTTTTAAATGATAGTAAACTATAATCTGTTTGAAGAACATTTTGATTGTTAAATATGAATTTTTTTTGGCTGGGTGCAGTGGCTCACGCCTGTAATCCTAGCACTTTGGGAGGCTGAAGCGGGTGGATCACTTGAGGTCAGGAGTTTGAGACTAGCCTGGCCAACATGGTGAGACCCCATCTGTATTAAAAATATAAAATTAGACGGGCATGGTGGCCTGCACCTGTAGTCCCAGCTACCTGGGAGGCTGATGCAGGAGAATCACTGGAATCCGCGAGGCGGAGGTTGCGCAGTGAGCTGAGATCAAACCACTATACTCCAGCCTGGGCGATAGAGTGAGACTCTGTCTAAAAAAAAAAAAAAAAATTATTTGTTCTATGTTTCCTATGTGAGTTGCCATTGACCTTACTAAATCTAAGAGCAAAAGGAATCTCTGTAATTCTTTTGTTTAGGTTAGTTTTAGTTCAAATCAGATAACTTTTTTTTTTTTGAGACAGAGTCTCACTCTGTCACCCAGGCTGGAGTACAGTGGTATGATCTCTGCTCACTGCACTCTCTGCCCCCAGGCTCAAGTGAGTCTCCCACCTCCGCCTTCCAAGTAGCTGGGACCACAGATGCGTGCCACCATACCCAGCTAAGTTTTTTTTGATTTTTGGTAGAGATGGGATTTCACCATGTTGGCCAGGCCGGTCTTGAACTCCTGAGCTCAAGTGATCCACCTGTCTCAGCCTCCCAAAGTGCTAGGATTACAGGTGTGAGCCACCATAATATTTTATATGGTGAGAACAGTCTTTTAAATATTTTCCTCTCAGTTTTGACTACATCTATATATCTATGTCTAATCTATTTAAGTGTTTAGAGATTAACTGAAAAATGCCAATCAAACCTGAGCTGGTTGTTTTGGTGTTTTTTGGTGACTGGCTAAATTATTTGAATTTCTTATTTCTCAGTTGATTATTTTTATAGGGCATGTTTTTGAGGGATCATCGGTTTCTTTTTGGAGTAAAACTATGAGGGAACTTTGAAATTCAAAATTATTGTCTTTAAGGAATCAGAACAGGCTTAATAGGAACTTTGAATTTTAATCCTTCTATTCATCTGTTACAGATTATTTTCCCTAGTAATTTCTGAATTAATAAAATTTAAGTCTGGGCATGATGGCTCAGCCCTGTAATCTTAGCACTTTGGGAGGCCGACGGGGGCGGATCACGAGGTCAGGAGTTCAAGTCCAGCCTGACCAACATGGTGAAACCCCGTCTCTACTAAAAATACAAAAATTAGCTGGGCAGGGTGCTGTGTGCCTTTTATCCCAGTTACTCAGGAGGCTGAGGCAGGAGAATCGCTTGAACCTGGGAGATGGAGGTTGCAGTGAGCCGAGAGTGTGCCATTGCACTCTAGCCTGGGTGACAGGGGAAGACTCTGTCTCAAAAAAATAAAATAAAATAAACAAAAAACCCTTAAACATGCCACGTTTTTTCTAATAAGCAAAATAACCAATAGCTTAATATCTTTGTATTAAACTCTAACAATGCATTAACTTTAAATGTTGAAAGAAATTACACATTTTAGAGCATAGTGGCAGAATATTTTGCTACAGTAGACCACAGGATTTTGTTGAAGCAAATAATAAAATGATGATTTATCATTTTAATGTAAACTCAATTTTATTGTTTAATGGGGTTTTAACTTTTGTCTTTGGGAAATCTTTTGAGTAGCTGATTTTGTGCACTTTCAGGTCTTTCAAACATGATGTCAGATGGTGAATTTTTAAGAACAAGTTGTGGCTCACCCAACTATGCTGCACCAGAAGTAATTTCAGGAAGGTAGTATTTGATAACCCTGCCACCCTCAATACATTTGAAATTGTCTTTTTCTCCTAGATTTTGTTAGTCTATAGTTCATATTTAATTCTAATGAAAGGAAAGAAATATAAGGCTTTTTCTTTTCTTAACCACGTTATAAGCTAATGAGGGTTAAGGACTACAAGTCAACATTATGTTAGAGTTGTTAGAAGAGAGTACATTACTTTTTTTCCCTGGTAGAAGAAATGGAAAGTTTGAAGCTAGGGTGTTTAAAAGCTAGGTAAGACCCTGGAAACTTGAATAATACAGAAATATCTAGTAGGTAGAAGTGGTTTACTATTTACTTAGAGGAAAAATTAAACATGTAATACGTAGCTTTAATTTTTTACATAGATAGCATTTTGTAGTACCTTTATGTTTCATGATAAAATGTCTTGGGGGATTGGGTTGAAGTAATCTTTAGACTTCATTTATGATGAATCTTTGTTCTTTAAGCCTTTTAGAAACTGCAATATTATAAGAATTTTAAACTCTCAATTTACTAACCACCAACATTCAGAACATGAAGATATTTGTACAGTATAGCTTTTTGAATAGTTTGTAAAATAGGAGAATATTTTTAAGAGTAACTCTTTGTTCTTCACTGTACTACTGAAATTGAAAACAGAAGCTCAAGTTTACTAGTTTTTATAATGAACTTTAATAACTTTTTATCCAAACCATGCTTATTTGTGTGAGTAGTCAGCATCTTGATTAATTCAAAATGCAGAAAAACTGTAGTATTTTCTTTCTGTTTTCATAAGCTTGTTGGCTTAGACTGCCCAAAGAAATGAGATTTGTGTAAAAATATGGCTATGAGTGAGACAGGAGTACCTAATTTTAGATTTATCAAGTTTCATCTTTTTAAAAACAATGTCAAAAATTATTTTAAAAATTTAAAAAAAATTATTGTCTATCTTAATTCTTTTAGGTAGAAAATAGGACATAGAGACTGTGGAAAGTGTTATTTAAATAAATAAAAAGAAATGTTGTAACTGTGCATATATGCAGTGAGTTATTACTGAAATTAATTTTTCTAATTTGGATAAGGTCTTTCTTCAAGCTCTCAGTATATGAGAACTTTTACTTTTTTTTTTTTTGAGATGGACTCTCGCCGTCACCAGGCTGGAGTGCAGGGTCAAGATTTCAGCTCGCTGCAACCTCTGCCTCCTGGGTTCATGTGATTCTCCTGCCTCAGCCTCCTGAGTATCTGGGACTACAGGCACGCGCCACCATGCCCAGCTAATTTTTGTATTTTTTTGGTAGAGATGGTGTTTCACCATGTTGGCCAGGATGGTCTTGATCCCTTGACCTTGTGATCTGCCTGCCTCAGCCTCCCAAAGTGCTGGGATTACAGTTGTGAGGCACCCCACCCAGCGTGATAACTTTACTTTCAAAAGAATATTTATTGATCAGTTCAGCAATACATAAATTTAAAGAGATCCTTTTCCTGAATCTAGACTTTGAATGGGTAGTCTAACTAGTCTGCAGCTAGTTAAGGCAGTTGACTAGAGTGCACTGCAAATAGGATTTAAAAATCTTCTGTGAACCTCTTGGCTTTCTTCCACAGCCTCACAATCCTTTCACCTTGGTGTAAGGGGTCTTAGGTTATTGGGATTGTGGGTTCAGAGTCCATTACTAAAGAATATTCTCAGTTAATGAAATACCACTTAATCTCTTCTCTGTAACAAAAACCAATGGTTTTAAATTGAATGATGATATGTTTGTTCAAGTTTTGGCCCTAGTAAATAGTAAGAACAGAATTTTAGCCATGGTGTGTAATTTACAAAACTTCTTGACTTTTGTTTTCAAAGATAATACTGTTAGAATTAAGTGTAGCATGTAGTAGTGGCTATAGAAACCAAATTCTGCTTATGAATTCTTTATGAAATATCCATATTTGAAATTTTTGATTAACAGATTCTTAGGTTAAAATGATTCTTTAATCCAATTGTTATATTTCCTGTTACAGATTGTATGCAGGCCCAGAGGTAGATATATGGAGCAGTGGGGTTATTCTCTATGCTTTATTATGTGGAACGCTTCCTTTTGATGATGACCATGTGCCAACTCTTTTTAAGAAGATATGTGATGGGATCTTCTATACCCCGCAATATTTAAATCCTTCTGTGATTAGCCTTTTGAAACATATGCTGCAGGTAGATCCCATGAAGAGGGCCACAATCAAAGATATCAGGTAATAAAGCAATTTGGAAGCTATCAGATCTAATAGTATCCATGATAAAAGTTAAGTGAAAAAAAAAGTTGCAGAACAGAATATATAGTGTAATCCTGTTTTTATGTGAAAAAATGGAGTGGATAGACACATTTTATTTTGGTATTAAAAATACATAGTAAACTGGTTACCTTAGGGAAGTAAGATTAGTAAGAGGGAGGGGCTTTCACTTTTTACTTACACATTTTTGTTTTGAAATTACATATAATATTTAATATATTTAAAATATTATAGTATTACATGTCAATATAATAACAGTGAACATTATATTACTTTTTAAATTAACAAGCTAATGAAAGGCTGGTGCAGTGGCTCACATGTAATCTGAGCACTTTGGGAGGCTGAGGGAGGAGGATCATGTGAGCTTAAGAGTTTGAGACCAGCCTGGATAACATAGCAAGGCTATGTGTGTGTGTGTGTGTATGTGTGTATACGTGTACATCTTTTTTTTTTAATTATTATTTTTTTTGACACAGGGTCTTGCTCTGTCAGCCAGGATGGAGTGCAGTGGTGTGATCATAGCTCATTGTAGCCTGTAACTGCTGGGCCAAGTGATCCTTCCATCTTAGCCTCCCTAGTAGCTGGGACTATGACATCCACCACCATGCCTAGCTGCCTTGTTTTTTTTTTTTTTTTTTTTTTTTTTTTTTTTTTTTTTTTTTTTTTTTTTTTTTTTGTAGTGATAAGGTCTCACTATTTTTGCCCAGGCTGGTCTTGAACTCCTGGCCTCAAGTAATCCTCATACCTTTTCCTCCCAGTGTTGGGATTACAGGTGTGAGCCAGTATGCCTGGTGTTAGGATTAATACTTTTCCGTAGTAAATTTCAGTAGTAAATACTTTTCAGTAGTAAATTTCAGTAAATCTATTTGATATCCTATCTCATGAATTATTATATTTTTTTCCTTTTTTTTAATCCCAAGGAATGAGAAAATTTAATTGACATGTTTTTCCTAGTAGTACACATTCAATTATATGCAAAAATCCTGTTTTGTAGGTAAAAGTCAGTATTACCAGTTTCATCTGGTTCAACCTAGTAGTTTAAGACAAAAATGAAGACAAATTTTCTTCTCAAATTTGGGTGAGCCATTTCTGATGAAGACCTAAACAATTTTACTGCAAGCTTTGTTTCTTCTTTTTTTTCCCCACATGGAAATTTTGCTCTCTTTGGTCTTCTAATGGCTAGACTGCACATTTATCTGAGAAGGAAGAAAGAAATCAGATATAGATCTAGAAATAGTAAATACGAAAGCAGCATGAATGTAATGAAGAAGAAGGAAAGATTATTTGTAGAACTTGAAGCTAAAACTTTCCATTTACTACACATGTTTTAGACTAGCTAAAAAAGAGACCATGCATGTCAGGGCATGATTTTACCACCAAAGGGAAAGGATACATCATTCTCTAAAATTTATATTTTAAAACTACCTAGGTAACAAATGTTTTTGCTTGTGTTTTACGTATTTTCTTCCAATTAAAATGTAATACATGACAATCGAAAAAGACTTAGAAAAACATCAAAAAAATAGAGAAGAGAATAAAAATTACCTTTAATCCCATGACCCAGAAGATAGCAATTGTTCTTTT